CTTCTTATAGGAATCGTAATTATAGGAACCCGTTTTATAGGGGGTCTACTGTATAAATAAATAATTTTTAATTTAGACATTTTAAAAATTTAATTTAGAATTGGTCATTAAATTTAATACAAGATGGCAGCATAACTGCCTACCTCTAATCAAATTAATTTCTAATATTTAATTATAGCCTTTACATTGCCCTAGAATTTGGCATATCATTTGGTGTGTTTATTATATAATGGGTGATGGTTGTTGATGCTTATGCATAACATGTGTGTACACAAGTTTGGAAAAATGTTTGATCACAAGCGACACTAAGATGCTAGTGAATGAGTGCTAAACAGACTGATGGAGCATGCACATAATCCAGGATTTCCCTTCTTTTCGTCACTTGTTATGCGAAACATTGCTCATAAATGAGTCATTTTTTACAATTTTGTTTTGCTCATTAAGTGAGGTTCCACTGTAATTCCTATAATGCAGATTATAATAAGTACAGAAGATCTCTGCTTTAATTTGTTCCTGAAAAGCCATCATTAAATTAGCTGTTACATTTCCCATAATTTGTCTCATAATTGAGATGCATTTCTGAAATATAGTTATATCATCAGTATACTCCTCATGAAAAAATTGTAGTTGATTGCAATTGCAAACTTACAAATCCCACTTAATGACTACAACACTCAATTTCATACTAATCTATGGTATAGTTGTTTTTAAAAAATTTTCATCACAATTATTTTAAACTGGTTGGAGAAAATATTTAGCTGGTCAGTTCACCAGCTTGGAAAGAATACTGTAATTGATACAAGTAAGTGTCTTAATTTTTGTTGGCATTTTCATGATAGATGTGCTTTATATTGATTAATTAGTTTAATTATTAGAAAAGTAGTTTAATTATTAGAAATGTAAAAATTTTTCATTTGAAGTATTTTGTTTATAATTTTGATAGATAGAAAATAAAACAAATTATGAAGTGAGAATTATTGCTAGCTAATTACCAGACCTGTGTGCAAAAATGTTTCCTATTCAATGTAACAAGAGTATAACTTAGATGGTTATACTGTAGTTCTAAATTATGTGTAATTTGAGAAATAATGATAGGCCATTCAGATTTCAAATCAAACTAATAATGTGTGTCTACTTTTCATATATTATTGATTCAAATCCAGATCTGGATATTGTTCTTTTAGATAATTAGAATACAATTTAAAATAAAATTTGATAGTGATTATCTACTAGGTGAAATTTCATAATCAAGTTAATTTAGACTAATAATTAATTTAAGAAAACCTAGCAATATTTGGTTCTTTAAAATTAATACATCTGTAAACTGCAAAATATATTTTTCTTTTGTTCTATTAGCTCTTTTTAAGAATACTATTATATAAGGATTGAGAATTCTTTACTATGAATCAAGAAGAAAATATTTATTAGCTCCTGAACTTTTTCAACAAATTAATTTTAAAAATATGATTATAATAGTATTTCAATTAATCTTTTTATTCTATATAAGTATAAATCCTTATGTAACATTGTTTTCAATATACTGTTGTTGCATCTTAGGGCAGTAGTTTCTCTTCATAAAAAAATTAAATATAACTGTTTCACTGTCATAATTTTTCTTGACTTCATTATCAGGATTTAGTCCTGTGAATGATATTTTAATTAATAGGTCATAAGGGGAAATAAGCTGGTTTCTTGATTTAAATTTAATGGTAGAAATAATTGTTTTGTGAGAAAGTTCTTGAAGATTAAAAATCTAAATTACTAAAGATCTTTTAAATGCAATTGTATGATATTTAAACAATCCTTAAAAGAGTAAGAAATATTTAGTTTTCTTATATTGATTCATTTCTGCATCTTTCAGATCAGTTATGATCAACCTTTTTAGGTTTGAGGGCTACTTTATAGTGTCTATAAAGTAGACTGCCAGTTTATTTTATAGACACTATTCATTGGTTTATATCTATGGTCTATAATATACTCTATAAATAGACAATACAGTCAAACAACAATAATTTTCGATACAGATAATATGACACAGACAACTGGGGGCTACCTCTTACAACTTGCCAGTCAATGTATTGGTCACCCTTGTTTTAGATTGTCAAACTGAATTAAATTCAGAATTTCTCAGAAATCACCTTGAGATTTATCTAACAGTGAAACCATATGCAATCCCTATTTTTATTTTCTGGACTTACAATGCATGTCTCTTTCTTTTTGGTAAGCTGTTGAGATTATAATCTTAAGAATCTGATAAATTCAATAATTTTTACTACTGTAATTATTTCAAATATTTAGATCTTGTAAATTACTGATAAACCATGAAGTAAAGTAAATTTTTGGATATTTAGTACAGTAGAGCGTCGATTTTCCGAATCAATTGGGAACTGGGGTTGTCCAGATAACTGATTTATGTACGAAAAAATAGTTTAATGTATCCGATGTTGAAATTTTTCTCCGTTGCGTGTCGCTTCGCGTTGAATTTTCGTCGATGTTAAGCCTGACAAAGACTATTGTATCGTTAAAAATTATTTTTTTATTTTGTACAAACAAAATAAATATATTGAAAAATATAAAAATAATAAAAAATTATACTTCAGATGTTAATTTAGTATCAAAAACGTAAAATATTTCAGTAGCCCAAGTCATAGCCAAAGATTGAAGCGCCACAGCACTGGCGAAAATTTAAATTTGCCGACTGGAATTCTTTTGGATGATTGACTTTCAGAAAATCGACGCTCTACTGTATCAGTATAATTTGAAATTTTCTGAATATATGTTAATTTCAGTATATATTAATAATAGGATTGATATATTAATTAGTCTGTTTACTTACATTTTAAAGTTTTTGTATTTCAAGAATCACGGAAGAAGAAATAATACATTTTAGGAAAATGCTAAATTGGAATTTAATTGTACTACTCAATTCTTATTAAATTATAGCAGTAAAGTATATAATTAATTAAAATATATAAATAAAATTTATTGAAGCTACAAAATTGTCATCTTGTTCCATTATTACAAACACCAAAAACAATTTTCAGTTACAGTGACAATCTTTATTTGAGGCTATATAGTATATAGCCAGGGTGGCCAAGCTCCTTGATAGTCCAAGCCATTTTTCAAAATTTGAAATTTTTCGCGAGCCGCAATTAAATACGNCAGGGGTGGCCAAGCTTCTTGATAGTCCGAGCCATTTTTCAAAATTTGAAATTTTTCGCGAGCCGCAATTAAATACGTATTAAAAAGGTATGCAAAAAATTCCAGAATTATATCCGTAGCAAGAGTGATACAAATTGTTTCTTCCAGAGCACAATGTCAGCTGTCCATTGCAATGACAGTTTACAAATTCAAAATCGGTCTGGAGTCGGTCGATAATGGACGATTACGCCACTGTTTATGTTTGTTCACGCAGTTTTCGATGAGTCATATCATTCTTAACTTGGACGGAAATGAAATTTGTTACAACGTTGCACTTAATCTTTCATATTTGTTGTTAGTAATTTAAAAGACATTTTGAAACACATACGGAACGATAATAATTTTTTAAAATATAATAACACAAAAATGAAAAGGGAACTCGGGTACATTTATCGAGAGCCACAAATAATCCTTCAAAGAGCCGCATGTGGCTCGCGAGCCGCAGGTTGGCCACCCCTGGTATATAGGACTTTGCAATAAAATGCAAAATGGATAAAAACGTCATCTGGCGATTATGTCATTAATACAATTGACAATAAAGTTCATTAAAATCAAATCTTGGCCAATGGTATTTACATTAAAATATATAAATAAAATTTACTAGGAACAAGACGACAATTTTGTAGTTTCAGTAAATTTTATTTATATATTTTAATGTAAATACTACTGGCCAAGATTTGATTTTACTATATAATTAATGTTTAATATTTGTTTACAACAGAAATTTAAAGAAAATCGTCAATTAACAATAACAGTTACTTATGAAAGAGTTCTGTCAAAGTATCTTTGTAAAATATAAATTTAAAAATTTTATAGATGGAACATTACAAATAAAAGTAGAAAGCATTTATCTTAACAAATTATTATTATATTATAAATATTTGACTTAGATATTCAGTTGATATAAATGGATTATTCATAACAGATTGATAATATTACATATTGCCTGTAATGTTGAAATACATGTGAAATACTAATTTTGAAAATGAATCATTAGTTGTTAAAAGCTCTTTTTTTTTTACTCAAATTATTTGATTTAGATGTAAAAAATAATTATTTAAAATCATAAGAAGATTGAAATAAATTTATAAACATCATATCTTTTCAACAGACAATCTTTATAAATTTGTAATGTTCATGTGGATGATATTTTATTTTCTTAAGTCATGCAGATAAAATATCAGAAAATACAATTAATAAAAATTTATATCAAGGTACTATTCATTTATAAAACAATAGACATAAAGAGAAATAAATTCCAGTCACGAAAAAGCAAACTGACAGCAAATGGTGAAAATGATTGAGAAATTGGAAGGCAAATTTTATTTGTGTATTGAAATTAGTTTATGCTACAAAATGTAAAAGCAAACATTTTTAACATGTTGGACTGGCAAAGTGATTTGCTAAACAGGAATATTCATTAGAAATGGTGTCACATGTTAGCTACAGCCATGCAGATACGAGAATAGTAGCAAGCAAGAAGTTTGAAGCAAGTTTGCTCCCCCAATGTAAAACCATGCTCAAGTGTAAAACAGTTTCTTGCTTGCAGGACAAAGTAACTCTCACAAATACCTGGCACTGTTTGAAGTTCTTGTTTTAACATAAAACAGAGAAATATATGTTTAAATATTTTCTGAGCAGGGTTCTATTGTACATTTTTATTTATAAGAGAAATGCTAATATAAAATTCTTTAAATTTCATATATTAAAACTAGTTAAATTTTAACAGCTAAATGAAGATGAATTGAGAGATGCCGTACTCTTACTTTTTGCAAACAAACAGGACTTACCAAATGCTATGACAGCAGCAGAGCTCACTGAAAAATTAGGATTGAATCAACTTCGGAATAGACGGGTATGAATGTTTTTTAGTGGTATTTTAATTATCCATTTTACAAGTCATAAATGTGCTTTACATTTTCATATCTGAAAGTGCTAAATATTTAAATTTTTCTAATGGTTTAAATTTTAAAAATCTGAAAAATTCCAATTATAGTATAATCTGTTTATTATAACAACTTTGGGACTTGTTATACTGATGATGATTATGGTAATTAAATAAGACTAAAATTTGTGGAAATTCTTTTATTGATTTTGACATTAAAACTGCATAACTAGATATTTCAGTTATACACAGTCATATTCACTCAATTTAAATTGCTGTTATATCTTCAGAACATTCATGGTAAATAAATTACATGGTGTTTTATAGAATAGCATAAAAATATTTACAAGAGACAAGTTTTCTGTCAGAAAGTTATCTTATTTTTGGAAGTTCCTATATGTGCTATCTGACTGAAATAGGTGAAGTACCTGAATATGGAGTGTGGTTGCTCTTGACAGCAATTTTTCTTGCTGTGGCTGCATTTCTTTATGCAGTGTTTGAGATGCAGTGGCTGCATTTAGCAAACTGTTTCTAAATGTTTGCTGCAAGAGGTTGCTGCAGCAAAGATACACATGTAACGGATGTAAAAACTGCTTTAACGCAAAATGGATGCTTGTGTGTATAATACGATATTATGCTGTAAAAATAAGTCAAATATTTAAATATTGTAATTCTTTAACTAAAAAAGCACTACTTTCGGCTGTAACTGGAATTAAAGAATAGATTACAGCATCCATGTTTCGCTTGAGCAGAAAGCATTTCTAAATTATGATGCAGCAATGTGGTGTCACTTTTGCTACACTCTTGCTGCATAAAGAAATGCAGCCTATGTGTAAGTTCAGTTGATAGTAATGACCATTGCTCCTTCAAAGCTATTACCTCCAGAAACTCAGGAGGGATATGTAAGTTGAAGGCAGTGACCTGTCTACCTAGAACATTCCACACATGTTTGATGGAATTGAGGTTGAGAGATTGAGCTGGCTACCCGATGCACATAATAGTTTCCTCCAAAAGGTACTGTTCCACCAGTATGGCCCTTAGATGATGAGCATTATCATCCAAATGTTTCACCTATTGTACCTTCATAAGGACATAGCTAGGGATCTAGGATATTGTCTCTCTACTTTTGAGTATTGTAATTTCCATATGGTAGCACATAGAGGTCTGTGCGGTCACCTAAAGAAATGCCACCCGAAACATTTACACTATCTCCACCATAACAATCTCTTTCATAGATGCTGCAGGAATGATAATCAGTCCCTGATTCTCACCAGATCAGACAACACCTCAAATCAAACAATAATATCTGGACTCATTTGTGAAAAGTACAGATTTCCATTGACTTTCAGTCCAGTTCACATGCATCCATGTCCAATTCAAATGTTTCCTCATCTAGTGTGAGGTGAGAGGTGTGCAAATTGCTGGTTGTCTAGCAACCAGACCTCCTTCATGAAACCTGTACACAGTGGAATCCAATATCATTCTTCCAGTAGCTGCAGCAAAGAAAGATTGTAGTTGGGCTGTTCCTCTCTGCAGTTAATTGCAGATATCAGTCTTGTTAGGCAGATATGGCTGTTGACCTTCTTTGCCTAAATTGTCTAGATGCTAATTGTGTATTTTGAAATTGATACACAGCCTGTAGACTAAAGAAAGACTTGGCAAGATGGTTGAATGTAAGTCAGTCTGTCTGTTAGCCAATGGTTCTCCAATGCAGTTTTCTGATAAATGATGTCAAGACATCATTCCTAAAAAAGCCTATCTCAAATTTCTTTGTTAAAAGTCCAAACACAAAAAAATGGCCATTTTGAAATATCTGTGTTTATGCTGGTGTCCATTTACATAAACTGATGTCAGTACCATTCATTTGCATATTATAGTCTGACTCGGTATTGTTTTCTTAGTGGAATCTGTATGAAATTTGGATATGTCATCGGTTTTAGATGAAAAATTCAATTTTTTCTCCTATTTGTTCCTAAATTTATGGAAACAAGTATATGTGAATGATGTTGTACAATCATCTATATATTAATTTAATTGAAAGAGAGTTTCAGTTGTCCAACTTAGAGTAAATGGCTGGGGATAAAAAAAGAGTTCAGGTATTCAAATTAAAGCTCTTATCTTGTAGAATATGTCACTGAAGAGAATCGAGAAAAGTGTAATGGTTCAGGTGTGGCATAGTGGCAAAGGTACAACATAAAGTCTGTGGGACAAACATGTTGGACACCTGCACACCTTCAATGATTTAGTATTTTTGTAACTTTCTTCTGTTTTTGTTAAAAAACGATGTGAAAAGTAAAAAAAAAATTAACATTAATAAATTTAAATGAAATAAGATTAAGAATTACCAATCCCCATCCCCTCTAAAGGCCCCAAGTAATACTGGGCATACCCAGCAGTTACATTGAAACTAATAGTGTGGAAAGATTAAAGTCCCAGTTAATAATCATAAGTATGACATAAGCTAATCTTCATGGTCATTTTTGACTTAGCTGCAATAATTTATGCTGTTAATTCTGATAAAATATCTATGATTATAACAGGCAGAATGTACTGTATATGGTTTTAAATAATCTTTCAATTTAATTTCAGACATTGAATCATTGTTCATGCTACCTTTGAATAATTGCTATTAGAAATCTATTTCTTTGCATTTATTAATGACTGAAAGTAAAACTGTTCAAGATACTTGACATGAACAGCGATTACAAAAATGTTTCACATTTCCATCCTTTATCACCATAGCAGATACTAATAATTGATGAATTTTGAAGTCTCTGCAACCAAACAATTGCTAGCTGATTAGAATCAATCCACTGTACTGAAGTTACATAATAATCTCTGCAAAAAATTAAAATAATTGTTTAATTTTTATGATTAAAATTTTGTTAATGTTAGGATGACCAAATGAAAAATTCATTTGTTTGGAGTAAACTTGGTGATGCCTGTGAGATGTTTTGAATGTTATCCTTAAAGTCTATAATAAATAAATGTTCAAGATTGAAATATTTTCTCACTATGAAAAGCAAGGCAGTAACAAGTGTGGCCAGCTCACAGTATTACCAACTCACTCTTTGCAAATAAAGTTTTTGTTTAATCATATGATGTAAAGTTTTGTTTAATCATCCAGTATATAAAATAATTAATTTAATATACTGGATGATTCATAAATAATAAATATTATCATAGTTCATAAATATTATTCTTAAGATCAACAGACTTCACAAATTAAAGAAATCTGGATCTGTCTCTTTGGATCAATTGAAGTAAATCCTGTGAGTTAGATAGATAACTATTGAAATAGTCACGTGTGTTAGGCCATTTTGGAGACACATCTGTATGAAATGTTAGGCAGACATTTCTCAATAATACATATTGACATTTTCAACAAAGTATACATAGATGTATAGAATAGACTGAGAACTAATGATCTGAAAGTTTTTCTCTGAGTTTGTAGAATCTATGGAGACAAAAATAATTTTTATACAAGATTACCCATAAACCATTACTGATTAGACACATTATCCATACATCGTAATTTATAAATAATGAATTACAAACTACAATGTAGGGATCATTATTTACAGATATAAAAATCCTGTATAAGCTATTTAAAAAATTTTAAATTTAAACGTAAAATACTAACTCTAACTATAAATAAATTTTTTATATCAATATAATAAAAGCTANTCTATTCTGAAAATAATTACTGTATCTTTGTATGCTTTGACGATGACAAGATTGATGAGATCTCTCCATGTATTTGACATTATTTCCATTAATAAAACTTAAATCAATTAACTTGAAAAAGTTTTATTTTACAATTTTTAAAAATTTCAAATGAATTTAATAGTGGGGTAGTACTTTTAGTATTAAAACTTTTAGTTAACAGCTTAAAAGCAGAAGAGTTTTTTAATGAATTATTTATTATTTTGTGAATTATTGTTTTAAAATCTATTCTTTTGGTATTTATATGCCTAATCAATTTTGGCTATTACCTCCAGAAACTCAGGAGGGATATGTAAGTTGAAGGCAGTGACCTGTCTACCTAGAACATTCCACACGTGTTTGATGGAATTGAGGTTGAGAGATTGAGCTGGCTACCCGATGCACATAATAGTTTCCTCCAAAAGGTACTGTTCCACCAGTANAAAGCAGAAGAGTTTTTTAATGAATTATTTATTATTTTGTGAATTATTGTTTTAAAATCTATTCTTTTGGTATTTATATGCCTAATCAATTTTGGTTGTGTTTTATTTAGATTATTACAAGAAAAATTTTTAGTAGTAATTTTATAGTTTTAATCAGGGTTTGCCTTAATAACTATATTTATAATTACAAGTCATAGAGTATGATATACATTATTCATAATATAATAATATATGCAAATGGTTATTCTTTCTTTCTCATTCATTGTGTATTTGTTTTAAAATATCAAAAAAAAAAAAAATTGTTGACAAAATGTCAATGAAATATGTAACAACAATCCAATTTGTTTTATAAAAATAAAAGTAATTAAATCAATATGGTTCTATTATGGAGTTTTACAACTGAAAATTCAAGAGCTGTAATAATATACACACTAAAATAATTGACATCCTTGAATTTATATAATCATAGAGCATGCTTTTGTTAAGAAATTTATTATTCATATTTTAAAACGGTTACATTTGGCCTAAAATTAGATACGCAAACTAGTGCAAGAATAAATTTATGACAAAAAGTATGATGCTACTTTGTAATTTTTCAGTTTTTTTAACTTATAATAATGACAAAAATGTTGATTTTATCTAAATTATAAGTTTAATTCACTAGATCAGGGCTTCTTAAACTCTTTTTATTCACAACCCCATTTATGATTGTGATTCTTTTTGCAACCCAAAAAACATAAAATAAAGATATATACAAATTTGCAAAAACAATAATGGTGTACTACCACAGTTTACTCTTGTGTTACAATGGAACAGAGACAACTGAATACACTGAAAAGCGACAACACAACACC